AAAAAAAAAAAAAATTTGATGGCATTTTCGTGAATTATATGAACTTGTGGGGTGAATTGGGCAAAATAAAGTTCCAAAAAAAAGGGAGGTTAGTTTTGTGGTTGACTTCAAGTTTCAGGTCAATTCTGCAAAAAGCCCTAAAAAGAAATCACATGTAAAACATATTATCTATATATAGTTTAATTTTTTTCTTTAACGCTGGATTGTATTATTAAGCTATTTAGGCAAATATTTTAAATTTTATGGAATGAAAATAAATTTATTATATTCCTCATTCTATTGGCCACCATTTAGTTTAGTTATTATTTTTGGTTTCATGTATGTAAGTTTTCATAATTGTTCATTTGTCTTTTACTTTGCAGGTTGTGAAATGGATGGATGGTCAGTGGCCGGTGAAGAACATTGGACCGGTGGTTCCATCCAAGTTCTTGGATAACCGGTTGCCGGAAGACAAAGATTATGAACTCGGGGATAGCAAAACCGAGCCAGACGAGTCTATTTTGAGGTGGCTGGAGAATAAACCAGCCAAGTCAGTAGTTTACGTGGCGTTTGGGACATTGGTGGCTTTGAGTGACAAGCAGATGAAGGAAACCGCAATGGCCATTAAACAAACCGGGTACAATTTCTTGTGGTCGGTTCGAGATTCAGAGAGAAGCAAGTTACCCTCAGGCTTTGTGGAAGAAGCTGTGGAGAAAGACACTGGATTGGTGGCTAAGTGGGTCCCTCAGCTAGATGTTTTAGCACATGACTCAATAGGTTGTTTTGTGACACACTGTGGATGGAACTCGACGTTAGAGGCATTATGCTTAGGGGTTCCATTGGTTGGGATGCCTCAGTGGACTGATCAGCCTACTAACGCTAAGTTTATAGAGGATGTGTGGAAGATTGGGGTTAGAGTGAAGACTGATGAAGAAGGGTTTGTGAGTAAGGAGGAGATCGCAAGATGTGTTGTTGAGGTTATGGAAGGAGAGAAAGGGAAAGTGATGAGGAAGAATGTTGAGAATTTAAAGGTGTTGGCACGTGAGGCTATCTCAGAAGGAGGTAGTTCCGACAAGAGCATTGATGAGTTTGTTGCTATGATGACTTGAAATTTTGAAACTCTAATGATCTGTGTGTTGTTAGTTGTTATAGTTTAATTATTCAATAAGGACTTGTTTGTCCGAGTTAATGTTCTTGTCTCTTGTACTATGTCTTGAGAAACCATCCATTTGATTAAGGAAAAAAACTCATGGTATATGTGAGAGCTGGTCTCTAAGTCAGTTAGAACATCTCCATTGTAGGCTCTTAGAGCACCCTCATTGAAGGTTTATAGGGGGAGTTCACACGGAAATAAAAAAAAAAAAAAAAAATAATAAAAACCTATGAACCCCTCTCTCTTAAAGTTCACCGCGATGAACCCCTCTCTCCTGGGGTTCAACACGTGGCGGCTCGAGATTGGTCTAGATTTTTTTTTTGTTTTTTTGTTTTTTAAAAAAAATCAAAAAGAAAATAGAAAATTTTTAATAATAAAAAAATGATTTCAATGAACCCCAAGAGGGGGTTCATTGATGTGGATGCCCTTAGGGGGAGTTCACCCCTTTCCCAAGAAAAAGAAAAAATAAAATAATATTATTTTGGTGAACCTCTCTCTCAAAAGTTTATGGTGGTGAACCTGGTTCACATGGGTTCGCCACGTGGCGGCCCCCATTTGTCCGATTTCTTTTTTTTGTTTTTTTTAAAAAAAACAAAAAAAAAAATTAAAAAATCATTTTTTTTTTTTAAAAAAAACAAAAAAAAATAAAAAATAATTTTTTTTTTTTTGGTGAACCTCCCATGGGGTTCACCAAATGGAGATCCTCTTAGATATCTCTTTCCACAATCCTTGTTTCCACAATAATTGTAGAGTAAGCCTAACGTGTCGGACGTTTGGGCCTTTAAAGCCCATTTAGAGTTTAAGTATGACCCACCAATAGACACGCGCTCGAAAACCTTCTCGTACGGCGTTTACGTGTTTGACATTGAGGATCTTGGGTTCTGTTTCAGTTACAGTTCCTCTGCCTTTATCCAACACTCGACTAGTAAGCAAATCCTCGTGCTATTCTCTTCAATGGCGTCAGTCTCAGCAACCTCTTCCATATCTCTCTTCTCCTTGAGATCGGCATGCACCGATCCGTCTCTTCCCCTCCTACCCTCGACGAGGGTACCATTCCCGACGATGAAATCTTTGACACGTGGCGTTGAAATGAGTAAGATAATGGAGAGTCTCGTTAGATGCGTCAATGTGAATGTTTCTGACGCTTCTTTCTCCTATGATTCTTCTGCAACTCCAGAATCCAAGTATTGTGAATATTCTTAAATAATTAACTTCATTACAGAACTGAATATGTTTTGGAACATGATATATGTCTTACCTTAACCGTGTCACTATTGTGATTCTGAAACAGGGTGAGGAAGCACACGATTTCAGTATTCGTTGGAGATGAGAGTGGGATGATTAATAGGATTGCAGGAGTCTTTGCGAGGAGGGGATACAATATCGAGAGTCTTGCTGTTGGTTTGAACAGAGACAAGGCTCTGTTCACTATTGTTGTCTCTGGAACTGAAAAGGTACTTCAGCAGGTCATCGAGCAACTTCAGAAGCTCGTTAATGTTCTCAAGGTTGTATTTTTTTTTCTTCTCCTAGATCATACTCATCAGTTTCTTCATTGCAACTCTGTTATAAAAATAGCATCTTTACACATGCCATTGCTAATTAGGTTGAAGATATCTCGAGTGAACCGCAAGTGGAGCGTGAGCTGATGCTAGTAAAAGTGAACGCACATCCGGAATCCAGGGCAGAGGTAATCTTATTTTGCCTATGTGAAGTTTGAGTTTACTGTATTTGCTGGTTGCTTTTGGTTCAGTATAGAGAGGTGGAGTTATTATTTTCCTTCAAATTTTGACTAGCCTCTGTTGAATGAATTTACAGATCATGTGGCTAGTTAACACATTCAGAGCAAGAGTTGTAGATATCTCGGAACATGCATTCACTATTGAGGTACGTCTTCTTAAGAGTAAGTTACTAATCATTGTAAGACAAATCTTTTCTTTTATGTGTACGTCTTCTTATGACTCTTTACTAACTGTATAACGAGAAAGTTTGAACATGTTGCTACACTTGGAGAATAGTATACTATGCGAATAATCTGCATTCCAAATTGTTTGCCTGTCTTGATTTCTGTTGGAGTGCTCAGTGTTGTTTATGATAGTTAGAGAAACAAGACCATACACATATTGTTGTCTTTTTTGCCTTGGTTATGTTATGAGGAAATGGGATAAAAAAATTGTTTCTGTATTTTACATATTTTAGTTATTTAGTATTCATTTCTTTAAGTTATCTTGCAGGTAACTGGAGACCCTGGGAAGATGATTGCTGTAGAAAGAAATTTGAGAAAGTTTCAGATCAGAGAGATTGTCAGGACAGGAAAGGTAGTTTATTTATGGAGTAACTAGATTGTATGGCATATAGTTACATCTTTCAGTGGACATTGGACATAAAGACATAGATCTTGTGTACTTTCACTAATATAGGAAATGTTGAATGATGATTTTATATAACAGATAGCACTGAGAAGGGAAAAGATGGGAGCTACTGCTCCATTTTGGCGGTTTTCAGCAGCGTCATATCCAGATCTCAAGGAGCAAGCACCTGCTAGTGTTCTTCGAGGTAGCAAAAAAGCAGCTGTGCTCTCTCCAAATGAAAAAACAGCAGGGGTGCGTGATTCTCTCCTCCTTATATTGCTTAATGTGACCTTGAAGCTACTTCCTCACTTTTCTTTCAGAGTTGTACTTTTTGTTTGCAGCCGTAACTAAATTAAATCTCCTGACAAGAATCTTCATGTGTTAAAATTTATCTCTTGCTTTGAAGTGTAGGGAGATGTTTATCCTGTTGAGCCAACATCTGACCTAATGGTACATCATGTTCTTGACGCTCACTGGGGACTTCTCACTGACGAAGATGTAAGTGACTTTGTTGCTAGATTTATATAGGTTCTACAGATTCTTTCATAGGCATGCGCGCCATGTTGCTAACTAATAATAGGCAACAAATAACATTTGTTTCTGTTGTACTGACGTATCTGGCGGTATTTGTAGGTTATTTTGTTTTTCTTTTATGACAGTTCTTCTTTTTTAATCTTTCAGACTAGTGGACTACGGTCACATACTCTATCTTTGCTTGTAAACGATGTTCCAGGAGTCCTTAATCTTGTAACTTGTGTTTTCTCTCGAAGGGGATACAATATTCAGGTATAGTCCTTACCTCTCCCACACATATACTCTTGAAGCGTTCTTCATTTTTGGTTTAGAGCTTGGCTGTAGGACATGCTGAAACAGAGGGCATTTCACGCATCACAACAGTTGTTCCTGCAACAGATGAATCAGTCAGCAAATTGGTGCAGCAAATTTATAAACTCGTTGATGTGCATGAGGTAGGATCACAAAGAAAAAACAACTGTCTGTTTATATACACTAACTATCCAAACATTTATTAAATTTTTGTGGGGATGTCTGCAGGTCCGTGATCTTACTCATCTGCCATTTGCTGAAAGGGAACTGATGCTGATTAAGATTGCTGTGAACGCTGCTGCAAGAAGAAATGTCCTGGACATTGCTAGTGTTTTCAGGGCAAAAACTGTTGACGTATCTGATCATACGATTACTTTGCAGGTAAAAACGTTTCTCATGTGTAGTTGCCAGATCAGATGAAAGATCACACTTATGGAAATCTTAAAAGTTTCATATCTTTTCATATGTCTTTTAACTTGTTTAACAAAATATATAAAGCAGGTTTTGAATTTCCATCTTAATCCCTTTCTCCCTTAGTTTTTTTTACTGGATTTGGTGCTGACACTTGTTTGCGGTGGATACATCTTACTGGTGATCTTGACAAGATGGTGGCATTGCAAAGGTTGTTGGAGCCCTATGGTATATGCGAGGTTAGTTTTTGCAATCTATTTTCATATCTTATTCAATGTTACAGCGCATAGTAGTCATAGATCAAATCCTGAGCCGTAGTTAGAAAGTCTGGCTCAGTTGATTAGAAGAAGAATCAGTTTAACAATCATTGCTACTTTCGCTTATATGCCTCGTGTTGTGTCGCTCGTGAACAATGACTCACAGGTTGCAAGAACCGGACGTGTGGCATTGGCTCGTGAATCAGGAGTGGACTCTATTTATCTTCGTGGATACTCCTTTCCCTTAACAAGTTAAATAACCCAATCTCAGAGTAGGATACAAAGCTGTATCCATGGAACATCAAAAAGACTTCTGAATATAAAAGTTTCACTGCTCGTTTTATGAGCCAACCCAAAGATGGAACCAAAGAGACTGTAGATATGTTTGGGACTTTGTTTAGTTTATAATTAAGTAGATTTTGGATTTTAGTGACTTCCATTTTCAGTTTTATTTTGAAAAATAAGTCTCGATCTTCCTTCGTCTTCTTTCTCCCAGCAGTTATGTGATTCCTCTATACGAGACCAAAGACCGAGAACTGAGTTTGTTAAAATGTGGATTCAAAGTCAAACTAAGTAAGCGCTGACCGAACCTAAAATGTTTGTCCCTTAAAAAGTTACGTGCATGTTCCACTAACGGATAATCATCTACTGACAACTAGTCAACATTTTGCCAGCCATTATTCCATTGGAATATGTTTTTTTTTCTGTTGAAAATGCTTTCATCCCATTAGAATATGTTATACTATGAACCAAACAAACTTATTATGTTATGAAGTTGTTTTTTAAGTACAGGTTGTCAAGATTGCTCTCAAATCGTGTTACATATAACTACAGTATGCTAATAACATCCTCTACAGCTCTCCGACGCATATCAGCAAATTCAAAAGTATATTTTACAATCTCTCTAAATTCTAAAACTAAAGAAAAAGGATTCTTATGTTTAATATGAGTACTGTTTTAATTATAGAAACTTAGATAAATTTGGTTAACCGAAAACTTTACACAAACTGAATATCAATTAAATTTCGATTTGCTCTATTTTTGTTGGGAAAAAATTGTCGCACACTGCACCTGGACGGGGACAACAATATCCTCAAATTCACTTGGTTCTGGAA